TAAAAAAAGTAGAACTGCAGTATAGCAGTCAAAATGCCAACTTTTAAAGCCCTGATGATGTTGGGTGGGCCCAACGAAAGCTTGGCTCATTAAATTTTTTACTATTTATTGCTTTCCTCTTGTTGATCGATATTTATTGGTTTTATCATATATATATGTATGTATGTATATACATATATGTATATGTATACACACACACACACACACACACACACGCACAGAGTGAAAGTAACTAATTCAAACACCAGGATAATATCAAACCAAAAACTGTTTAATACAAGTGCTGATATTATCCTGGTGTTCGAATTTCCTTACTTTCATTGCATGGCGCTACCCAGGATTTGTATTTTTAATATAATTAGACACTCACACACACATATAAAAAACTGGGGGAGGAAAATACACACACACAAACACACACACACACACACATCCCTAAGGACAGCATTGTCTTCTAAACCAGTGTTTCTCAACCTTGACCATTTTAAGGCATGTGGACTTCAACTCCCAGAATTCCACAGCCAGCATTGCTGGCTGTGGAATTCTGGGAGTTGAAGTCCACATGCCTTAAAATGGTCAAGGTTGAGAAACACTGGTCTAAACCTTTCTCATCCTGCTGTGACGAGAACAGCCCAAACGTATCCACCTTTTTAATACTTACAGCAACTGTAAGGAAGGCAGGTGAGAAAACATTCTGTCTTTTATTTCGGGAAAAGTTCCATTGACCAGGCTCCTAGGAAGAGGCAGCAGGAGAGAAAAATCAGCAGGAGCCTAACTCAAGACTTGTTACCGTAACTTCCCCAGCCTGGTGCCTCCAGATAATGGAATAAGAAGAGTTGGAAGGGACCTCGGAGGTCTTCTAGTCCAACCCCCTGCTCAGGCAGGAAACCCTATACCACTTCAGACAAATGGCTGTCCAGTCTCTTCTTAAAAGCCTCCATTGTTGGAGCATTCACCGCTTCTGGAGGCAGGTGGTTCCACTGGTTAATTGTTCTCACTGTCAAGAAGTTTCTCCTTAGTTCTAGGTTGCTTCTCTCCTTGATCAGTTTCCATCCGTTGCTTCTTGTCCTGCAAATTCAGGCGCTTTGGAGAAGAGCTTGACTCCCTCTTCTTTGGGGCAGCCCCTGAGATATTGGAAGACTGCTATCCTGTCCCCCCCTCGTCCTTCTCTTCATTAAACCAGACATCCCCAATTCCATCAACCTTTCCTTATATGTTTTAGCCTCCAGTCCCCTGATCATCTTTGTTGCTCTCCTCTGCACTCTTTCTAGAGTCTCAACATCTTTTTTACTTTGTGGTGACCAAACCTGAATGCAGTATATTCCAGGTGTGGCCTCACTAAGCTTTCTAAAGCGGTACTAATGCTTCCCGTGATTTTGATCCCATGCCTCTGTTTATGCAGCCCAGGATTGTGGTTTTTTGGGCTGAGAACTTCTTCAGCTAAAGTTTTTCTGCTTAAAAGGGGACTTTTTAGTTCTAAAATACGGAAGCATTTGAACGCCCCTGGCTTTTGGGAGCAGGCACTGATTTTTCCTGAAGCTGCCCTGCGCCACCACTGGCTGCCCCATCACCTGAGGGAGAGGAAGATGGAAAGCCCTTCGGAGCTGAAGAATCTAGGGGACCCAATCCTCTGTGTGTGTGTGTGTGTGTGTGTGTGTCTGTGTCTGTGTGTGCAAATCCCTCCTTTGCAGCCACTGCCTCGCCCTCCCCTCCCCTCCCTCCCCAGGTGGGGGTGGGGGTGCAAAGTTGCTGGGCCCCCCTTTGCAGCCCCTGCCTCGCCCTCCCCTCCCTCCCCAGGTGGGGGTGGGGGTGCAAAGTTGCTGGCCCCCCCTTTGCACCCCCTGCCGCGCCCTCCCCTCCTCCCCAGGTGGGGGTGGGGGTGCAAAGTTGCTGCCCCCCTTTGCAGCCCCTACCTCGCCCTCCCTCCCTCCCCAGGTGGGGGTGGGGGTGCAAAGTTGCTGGCCCCCCCTTTGCACCCCCTGCCGCGCCCTCCCCTCCTCCCCAGGTGGGGGTGGGGGTGCAAAGTTGCTGGCCCCTTTTGCAGCTCCTGCCTCGCCCTCCCCTCCCTCCCCAGGTG